GCAGCCAAAACTATCTGTCACCACTACTTGTTATTGATTGAAAACTAAACTTTCTAGGAATGTACTCCCTCATACAGTATCTAATCTACACATCTAATGTCAGGCCAAGCATATCAGACAGGCCCCAACTGGCTGTATCATTAATAATTTACTGAAACAATATTTTAAGTTTTGCCTGGGCACAAGTTTAATTGCTCTTCATGATATGCACCAATGGCAAAGTCACCTTTAACACTGATTTTCGAGTACAGCAGAACACCCCTCGGGGGGGATGGAGAAAGGTTGCAAGAGGAAGCTTTTTATTGAATAGCCTACCAGGAGATCCAGGATACTCAAGCTTGGAATGTCAAAGCATTTTGTGAAGCCAAGTTTTTCAAGCAAACATTAAATGTTAATGATGTTAAAAGTCTAAAAGCCCCAACCCAGCAACTCTAGAAAAAATAGCTGACTAAGTTGAGGCGGGGGGGGGGGGGGGGGGAAAGAAAGGGGGGGGTGGGGGGGGGGGTGTGTGGAAAGAATCAAGATACTACAAAACAGATCAGGTCCCAGCTCCTATCCAGGGTCCGGCATGTTGAAGTAGAGAGGTACCTAACTGGGGAAAATTAGATTTGCTGTTGCTTAGTCCTCAGTCTTCCCTAGTCCAACACTGCTGATTTTATCTCCAACCTTTTCTGCATAAGGGTGCCTTCCTGGCACCCTGTGAGCAGTCATGGCAATGCAGACCAGCAAGCTCTAAGGAGGTCAGGAACTCATGCTTTTCTCCTATAAGCTAAGGAAGTTCTTCCCCACAGGTAGCTACTGCCATGAAAACAGTTTTGAATTGTGGAAAGTTGAGCAACTCACCTCCTCCAAAGCCATTAACTAGGTCATTTCTCAGCTGCAACACCTAATCTTTATGAAATCAATAGAAGTGAAGACTTGAGCTTAAATTAGAAACCAGGCCACAGATAACATCACTGGCCATTCTGCATTAATAAGGAAGGTTAATACATTGAGGAACTGAATTTGCCAGTACTCCGCTGACTAGAAGGCAGCAACCCACCTACCACACTTGCCTTGTTTTTCCATCTTCTTGCTCACAGACCTCACGATGCAGTAAGAGATCGCAGAGGTGAATTTCAAGCCCAGAAGAAAATACGCACTCAGATAAGAACTAGCAGGCTGTAAACAGCTTAGCTAGCTGGCTCATGAGGAAAAAGCTACTCTATTTTAACTCACAGTTAGGAAAGATGTGCTACTAAACTTTGTTTTCACTTGAACCGCAAGACAACATGACTGGCTCTTCTCAATCTTCACTCAACTTTTTAAAGAAACCCTTTGCACAGTTTTACATTACTGACTTGTATGCAATTCCTGCTCAAGCTGAGTGAGAGACAGCTGCTGCCTTCAAGAAGAGTCTGCAGCAGAAAACATGTTTAAAACCAGTATGTGATCAAGCCATCCAGAAAAAGTGCCTTCACCAGAAGAAGGAAGAAATCATACCAAGAAATACAGACACTATATTGGTTACTAGCAAAGTTTAAAGGTACTCAACAGCCTGACTGTCTATAAAACAAGAGATTGCTTCAGAAAGCACCGAAGTCTGAAGATTTTTCTCAAGCCAAAAGATAAAGAAAAGCATATTACCAATACGGTAATACTTGGAAGCTATCCAATTCAAGTAGGGGTTACTACTAGTCCCATGCATGAATGAAACATGTATCTAGCCAGGCTCTTGTTTTCAAGAAGCCTTTGCAGAAGAGACAAAGCATCTAGAAAATGGCCTCCCCTCTTTCTTTCTAACCCTTAGTAAGCAAGTGGGACTTAAGCTTCATCGCCCTTTCCAGTCCAGGATGAGAGCTCTCCTGGGGCTGTGGCTCAGTCCACAAGAACAAGCCAAATATTCAGGAACCTGAACACACAAGAGAAGCTGCAGGGCATCATTACCACATATCACAATTAGCTCATCGTAGCACTCTGTACAGCAATGCAAAAGTGGTTGTTTTGGTTCAAGTGGTAGACTGACACTTTAAAAGACTCCTCACACTACAGCAATATAATCCCACAGGGAAGGTCAAAAAAGCAGATACTTTAAAGAGTAGTAACACTGGGTAAAGGGATGCATTCAGAACAGTACCACTTCTGAAAGAGGGAAAATTTGTAATATTTAACTATCAACACACTTTACTATTTCCTAAAGACACCTCCCAAAAGCACGTATAACCCTTCAACATCTGTGCAATAAAGCAGACAAAACGCACTCCTTTACTCCACCAAATAACAGACTGAAGTCCAGGCAATCCGAGTTTCCAAAGGGCTGAACGATGACAGGAAAGCTCCCCATGTAGCATGCAGGCTGATCAGTTGTTTGACTAATATTCAGTGTTTCATGGAGCCAAAGCAGTTAAAGTCTCAAACTTTGGGTATACACCGAAATCCAATCAGCTGGCTAACAGGGAACACTGTAGCATCACCTTTTATAGTTCACCTTCACTAACAAGAACTTTGTTGTTATTCTTTGCTTATCTAATCATTGTGAGGTCAGTTTTTAGATGCCATGGTATAAAAACAATTGAGAACAATTCTCGATTGTCTTGAGTTTCACTTTTATAAAACAGTACATGTTTACCCCCTGATAGCACAGAAGCTTTCTTCTATTCTTATACTTTATAAAGCACTTTTTAAGGCTCCTTAATTTCAGTTCAGCTGAAATCATGTGGAACTGGCATGTCATTTATCAATGTTATTTTTCAATCTACAGTAAACCCCTTGCACACACAGAGCACAAGATAGAAATAGTTTGTGAAGGTGCTAGCCAAGCAGACTGGATTTTCCCAGTACTGTCTACCACCGAGGCATTAACAACATTTGTAGCTTGTTGAAAGCCTGATAGCTCAGAATATAGCTGGACTGACTTCCACAACTGCTCTGTTAAATACCTTCAAAGGAGAAGAAGTTTTCATGCAATTTGATAAACAGTGTCTTTTGCAGACCAGTTTCTAGGGCACCCAGGTTTGTTTCGCACTGAACACAGTTCTCATACTAGGGTAGATGGCAGGGAATGAAAGAGGGAATTCATCAGCAGGAGACAGTGTGCATTTCTGTCCACAGATGTCAGCAAGAAGACAGCATCAAGTTACAGATCTCCATGCCATCCCTCATGAAAGGTACTACAGAGACAACTCCATATGACATCCAGGAGTGGCAATGCTACATCTCACAGGCAGATGACAACTTCCAATACTGCTCTTTCAACTATTCCCTTATTGTATCCTTATTCCCTTATTGTATCCTCACGCCACTTCCAGGTGTTGCATAACACATTATTATTATTATTTCAAGTATTAAACTGTTCTTATCTCAAAAAAAAAGTTAGAATGTGCTGGTTTGGGCTGGGATAGAGTTAATTTTCTTCTACTAGTAGCTAGTATGGGGCTGTGTTTTGGATTTGTGCTGGAAACAGTGTTGATAACACAGGGATGTTTTCGTTACTGCTGAGCAGGGCTTACACAGAGTCAAGGCCTTTTCTGCTCCTCACCCCACCCCACCAGAGCAGGCTGGGGGGGCACAGGGAGTTGGGAGGGGACACGGCTGGGACAGCTGACCCCAACTGACCAAAGGGATATTCCATACCATATGACGTCATGCTCAGCATATATAGCTGGGGAAAGGAGGAGGAAGGGGGGATGTTCAGAGTGGCAGCATTTTGTCTTTGTAACCATTACATGTGTTGGAGCCCTGCTTTCCTGGAGGTGTCTGAATACCTGCCGGTTGATGGGAAGGAGTGAATGAATTCCTTGTTTTGCTTTGCTTGCATGTGCAGTTTTTGCTTTCCCTATTAAACTGTCCTTATCTCAACCCATGAGATTTCTCATTTTTATTCTTCCTATTCTCTCCACCAACTCAGTGGGGGGAGTGAGCAAGCAGCTGTGTGGGGCTCAGTTGCCAGCTGGGGTTAAACCACGACACACCAGAACATGCAAATGGACTAAAACAAAGCACTTAGAAGGAGACCTAGTCCAGAAGTTGAGGCAGACACAGCTTAGACGAGGCACAAATACAGTTCCAGCTCACTGTTAAATCTCTAGTCTCAGTAAGGATACGGCCAGCTGACCATCATCCACAAGATTACACTTAGACAACAGGGTTTCAGAACACAAACTGGACTCAGTTAGGTTCTGTCATTACTAGAGACAACCCAGCACTCCACTCTGGCCAATATTTGAACCCAGCATTCAACTCTGGGAATATTGCTGTCATTCACCCTAGCTAGTCTCTTTGCCTGCCAAGAACAACGATGCTTTTGCGTGTTAACATTTTAAAGAAGCTAGTCCTAAAATGTTACAGAAGCCTGAAACTGGCCTGGATTTTAACACCTGGTGTTCAACTTCCAGCTTTATCAGCTTATTTCAGAAGGATCTTGCTCAAGCGGTCTGAAATCTCTAGGACAGCAGAGAAGCTCAGTAGGGCAGGTCTTCTGCAATGGCAGAGAAGTGTGTCACTTCTTTAACTATCTAACCACTGATCCAGAGATAACTCACATACTCTGAGCCCAGCTAGAGTGAGATGCTCGTGCTGTTGCTGTCTGTAGGAGAGGACTCTAACAACTCTTCTTTGAGAGTTCAGGTAGCTCCGGCAAGAAGCACTGCAAATACCAATGGTCTCCTTTGCCACACAGCTGTAAGGGCAAGGCTGAAGTAAGTACTCACATCTGAGCCACTCAGATCCTGTTCCTGCTGCTGCCCATCACCTTTGGCAGATGTCATGCCAGGAGTTTATTCTCACTTTTAAGGCTTTTGCTTAAGCCCTGATGTAGCAGGTATAAGGCAGGTCTGATCAGACCAAAGACAAAGCTGTAAGCATTAGTCCTATCAGCTGATCAGATTATTGCACAGAAGAAAGTCACTTGGAAAGTTAAGTCAGTGGCAACTCCCTGCCTGGGGTTTAAAAATAACACAATTTAACAGTGCTTTTTTCAACTCCTAATTGAGGCTGTCACTGCAATTCTCAGAAAACTTTCAGTCAGAAAGCAGCTTTCAACAAGCAGCAGTTTCCCATGTCTACAGAAAGGCGGCCAAAGTCATGCACCATTCTGCAGACACATTTGCAGTCGTGTCTCACATTACAGCTAGCACATAGGCAGTGCTATGTGGGAAGTGTGAGGGTCAGCTAAAAGCAGTTCAGCTCTCTCACCGCCTCTCTCTCACCGCATTATGGCTGCACTGCAGTTCAGGGAGTAAAATTTCTAGGAGACAAAGTCAGCTAAACACAATCAGTTGCTTTCTCCAGACAATTTACTTTTTGTTGTTTCTTTGGAAAGTTTTAAGCTGTTTAAAGATACATCTCTTAGCATTTTAAAGATCACACTCCTTCCTGTGGAATGAACAGATTCAGTAATTTTGGTGCTCAATCAGTATTTTGCCCTCAAGATCCACAGCATGGAGGTTCAGGGGTATAAGAAAGCAATGGCACACACAAACTCACCTGATTCCTGGACTGGGCCCTTGCGATCCTCAGTCTCCGAGCAGAATAAAAAATAAAGTAGCCCATGGTTGCTGCCGTGACAATGAAAAACGACACCGAGATGAAGAAGATGGAGTACTGATTCATCCAAGGACCATGCTTTTTCCCCACTTCGATAACCATAGTCACTTTCATGCCACTCTCAATCCGGTGTAAGATCTCCATGCCTTTCAGGTTGCCAATCATAATTGCAACGATGCTTTCAGCACCTGCAAAGGAGAAGGGGAATCCATGCTCAGTTCCCAGGTGTTGTAAAAAAGTCATCATCTTGATGTTCCAGTTCAAGTGCTAAAGAACAGACTGGAAAGTTTCTAACTAGCATTTGCAGATTCAACATGAGCTGATGGAATAAGTGTCATCTCCATGTGCTTGTTCAGCTGAAAGCTATGTCCAATTACCTATGAGCTGCATAAAAGAACCATATTTAGAATTCATCCCTCTCCATAGCACTCCTCACTCCCATATAGCACACGCATTGTCATTATTTTAGACTCAACACTTTGGCAATTTACATTTTAATACGCCATTGGACTACACAAAGTAAAAATAAATCCTATACAGAGTGAGGTCACTAGGGATTGCAGTATCTCCACGAGCTCAGGGATGCCAGGTACACAGCTGGTTGCTTAGGGACCCTACCTGTAATGAATCTGACTCCCTCCCTGCTCCACTGCTACTTCTTAACACCTCTTTTCTAAATTTGTCAGTACTGTTGAGTACTTGCCCAGACACTGAGCAATCAAAGCCTTTGCTTCTGTATTTTCAGAAGCAATTGAGAAATGTTTGAGTGAAATTTGGTTGTGAACTATAAATGTTATTGTGGGTTTCTGATGCAAATTCAGAGGGAAGCAAATATGGATGTATGCTTGCCTTTTAAACAGTTGGTGGCAGATGGCAAACTCCATCCATATTTTAACAACAGATTTCATTTACTCAGTTGAACATCATGACGAGCCATCAGAGGAACCAAGGGTTTTATGGTAGGAAGACATTTCAAGCAACTCTGGTCACCAAGTACAGACCAGAACAAAGCTGCTTTCATTTTGGTGACAAGAAGGTGCTTGAGAACACTTGATACTATTTGCAGGAACTTCAGGCAGTCCCAATATAACAGAGGGGCTCTCAAGAAAAAACAAAACGGAGAAAGGGAGATGAGTAAATTGTCACTGGCCTCTCTCTAAACTAAGTAACAAGAAAAGTGGATTTGAAGACTAGCTGGTCAAGATTTTAATGCATTAAACCATCAGCTGCACAATATTCGTAACAGATATTGCATGGTGAAGTAAAGGCTGTTACAGAAGTGCTATTTTTAGCTAACCTCCCAGCCAAACACTTCTTAATGGGGAGACCAATTTTTTTCCTCCATTAAGAGAAACCTTATCCAACCTTGAGCTATCAAAAAAAAAATAGAATTGGTGTTAAACCACAAAGGCTCTCATTTGAGAAAGCACTTATTAGTTTTCCAGCTTGTTCACATAATGCCTTTGATCCAAGATGGCTAAGCATGATGTCTAGCAACTCTCCTCAGTGTGACTAAACTCATCTTTTATTCAGAAAGCTCCTTGTAATGAGAAGTACATCACAGAGAAGAGGAAAAAAAATTTAAAAAAAAAAAAAAACAGGCAGACTGCAACTCCCATCCTTTATGATGAACTAGGGCTTATACATCAGTTATAAAATGAGCTGGAGTCAGGTGTTAGGAGCAAATAAAGAATTAAGCATGGGTCAAGGCAGAAGCTTACTTTCATAAGCATGGAAAAAAGCGTGGAAGAACAGGCTGTGACAACAAGAAAATAAAAAGCCTGCCAAAAAAAGCAAAAAAGCTCGTTCTGCCTTATTCCCCTTCACCTCTGCATGTCTCACTAGTCAAATATAGCTTGTGGTTATGCGCAA